CGAACTGCTTAGTTTGCCCTGAGTACCAGTGCTCCTCCTCTGATAACACAGGGATGTTTGGTGCTGAGCACCATGGTGGGTTTTGCTCTGCTGGAGCCCTCTGTCAGTATGTATTCTGCTAGATAATGTCATTGATGCTGGAAGGAGTCTGGGGTCAGAATCAAAGGAAATTGTCTCAGTTAAAGCTTTCTTCCAAGAAAATTGTCTAGTTCTGTGAATATACAGTGTTATGCAAAATATTTCATGTTTGATAATTGTGGAGCACTAAAAAAGCCACTTGTCTTCCAGGGGCATATCGATTTTGAAATAGCTGCCTGGAGTGGCAAAGAGTGTGTTTCCAGAGAAAATGCCAGCATGATATTTCAAGAGTATTGACATATCCTCATAAATATTGAATTCTGATTACTAATGTAGCCAGTAAATAGCTAAAGGCAAATTATACTTTCCATTAAAACTTGATATTTGCCTGGCAAATTGAGAACTCTTGGCTTCTTACGCCCAGACAAGTGCCATTATAAAAGCAATTGATTTTAGAGAAAAGCAGCATGACTACACCAAGAGCCCTTTAAGACCCTTAGAAGACTGCAAAATACAGCATCCCTCTGCTTTTCTGCACTAAAGGAAACTGAAGCCCACAGACCATACTGAAGGGGAGTGTTACTGTTTTACTCCCACAGCAGGTTTGCTTTGGCAGTTGTGCCAAAGCACTTCAGGTTGGGGTGAGTTTTGGGGTCTGGGTGTGTTTTGGATTCCTTCATCTGCCACTGTGCTGGTAGTGCAAAACTCCAGAAGTTAGTGCTCTGCAATGGGTTAGAGTGACCTGCCAGGCATGCTGAGGAAGAACTGCCAAGGGGAAAGTTAGGGACTGGGGTTCTTCAGAAACAGCACTCATGTAGCTCTCAGTAGAAGGTTTAGATGTATCAGACAATTCTCTGACAGTTCACCCAACAGGCTGCCAGACTCTAGGAAGTACAGACTTTAATATTTTAATCAGTCATCCTGGCAGAGCTACAACCCCCCTGGTCTTCAGTTAGCAAGTTGAACAAATATGCAGGCACAAACACATCACATCTCCCACTCCTAGGTGAGCTATTCCTGCTTGTGCAGGGCTTTGCACTTTTGTTTCATGGAAAAGGAGTGCTTTTTCATATGCTGTGTAAAAATGTCAGGGTGATAATTCAGTTTGGTGATCAACAGATAACCTAAGATCTTCATTAATATGTCATCTTAAAAGAAATAAATCTCCAAACTCTCCGGCTCAGCATTTTGTAGGGAGATGAATGTAGAATGGTACAATGGGGGCAGATTTCTCAGCATAATTGGATCTTTCCTTGTATGGCTCACACTTCAGATTTTTATGACAGCATTGGTAAAAGACACAGGAAAATAAACCCCTGTAAACTCTTAGGTGACTGGCCCAGTAATTCAAACCAAAGGAGTAGAGAAGGATTCCAGATGTTGAGAAGGACATTTCTGAGTAAGCATTTTAACCTCAGATTCTGGAGGTGCTTATATAAGCAACAACTGTTAAAATCATTCTAGAAAGGAAGGGGACTGCATGTTCTCTTGTCTGTGCGCTCAAAAACAAGTCCTTAATTTATTCTCTTAGCTATTCTGCAAATGCATGTAAATGGGTACTGCTCACTATAACGAAATCACGAGTTCTGTTTTTGTGGCGGTACTCACATTCTGGGGAGACATCTGCAAGCTCAGTCTATGTCTCCAGGTGCTCACGAGTTGTCTTCATGAGTTATTTCCAGTGTCAGAACATAGAACCTGCCCAAGTCAAATTTAGATGGTGATAGTTTCCAGAAAAACTCACTGCAAATTCTGTGTCTGGTGGTGCTTTCTGATCGCTGTACATCGGCTCATAAGCACAGCCCCTCTCCCTGCTGTTGATAATGACTTGTGCTGTGATGCTTCTACTGTAGGGACTTACTGGGTATTAACCTTCTGTATACGCTCCATGCCTGCCTATCCTACCTATGTTGTATAACCACTGCTGCCTACATATAGTAATCTACAGAGCCTGGGGGACTGTCAAGACTCATTAGGGAGAACTAATCTACTCAGCTGGGAAGGACTGATCTGTGCTTTGTCTTGAAACCAGCAGGGCTCTTTCCATTGATTTAACGAGGCTTGGGTGAGACCTCCATCTTTTCTCCTGCGCGTGAGCAAGTTGTTATTGATATGACTTGATCTTTTAAGATGCATACTTGTGTGTGAAAACTTTCAGGGATTAAATTATTTTTCTAGTCTAGGGGCAGCTTTTTGCACAAATCAATTGCCTGAGTAACAGCAATGTTTTTCAAGCAAAAGCTCAAATTCTACAAACTGCAAATGAAGCTCTACGGTTTGCATGGGAAAAGACTCTAACATCTGACTGCTAGTCTGCCTGTTCGTTTGGTACCTGGCCCAGAGTCATCTGGGCACTTCTGATCAAGCTCTGAGGGCTATTGTGTCAACATGTAAGCACAACTCCTTTTCCCCCACACTTCATGCCTCCCCATTCACAGTGCTGTGCAGTGCCGGATGCTGCAGGAAGCGAGGAGGCTTGGGCAAGGACCTTTCTCAACAGCAAAATGAATGAATAAGCTTTTTATGAAAATTGATTTGAAACTAAGTGAATGAGAAGGAAATTAAAACTGGGAAAACCAAACACGTGCTCATTTTGGCTTGGGGCTAGAAATTCTTGCTTCTTTTGCCACTCAGCCACACCAGCCTGAGCTGTGCTGTTGGTTGTTACGGCACTTTCAGGACTCTCGAGGCAGTGAGGAGATGTATGCATCTCACTGGAGACTTGGGGATTCAACTAGTGGCTGGCAGGGATTTCCTCTCCAGCACAAGCCTGGCAGACACGCCTGCTGGCCCTTCCCACTCTTGTCTGGCCTGATTCAAACAGCGTGGTTGAAATGACCACGAAACAGCATTCCACCAACAGGCAAAGCCCGTCGCAGGGGAACGTTTCTCCAGCAGTGTCAGCTCAGGAGTCCTGCTAGTGTAGGTAGTGATCCTTTGCCACACAAATGTAGGAGAGAAAAACATAAGAGGAGTTTCTCTTTCTCTATTGCTGATTTTTTTTTTTTTCCGCAGCAAACTGCTTTTGAAATGTAGAAAATAATTTCAGAAAGTAGAATAGGTCCTGCTTAGCCTCTTGGAAAACACTGAAATGGGGAATTTTTCCAGTAAGTTCACTTTCTCACAGGGGATCCTCTGACTTGCTCAGAGCACAGCATGCAAGAGAGCTTAACAGAAGAGAAACCACATAAGCAAAATGTAGCTTTCCATTAGAGAGCCTGGCATGAGACAGTCTGTCATCTGCAGAAAGCAGCACCTGACTGTCTGATTTCTCATTGACTCCTTAGGTCTATTTCATAATGAAATCCCTGAGTCCTAGAAAGGATGTGGAAAAAATGCTTCAAGCAGGGTAAAACATTGACAAAGGAAATTTGGTTCTCAAGTGAAAAGCAAGAAGTTAACGTTATTTCTGCTGGACAGCTGAAGGTTTTGAAGGCACCTTTGTGTGCTGGCTCTCACAAACTAATCAAGGCCAAGTCCTGTGGATGCAGTCCCCCAGGATGTTCTGACCTTGGGGAAGTCATGGGTCTTCTGAATAAGTCCCTTCTAGTCCCTAAAAACGTATGTCTAAATATTCACCTCCCTCGTACAGTCTTGTGAGCAGGACAGGTTTTTGATAGCCATAGCAGAGCACACTGTGGTTGGCTCATTTCCAGAAGTCACTGGCTTTTGTTGCTGGCATTTAAGTAAACGAGGTGCATGGTTCCAGGAGAGAAAATGCCAGCAGAATCTGCCCTCCATACAGTGAGAAGTAATACATCAAGCAGCTGATTTTTTTCCTGTCTTTCTAGTTTAAATAATGTATTTACAGCTAGTGTGCCCTGTCCCAAATTCTGTTTGTATTTTCCTTTTAAATGTTAACCTTTGCAGTGCTAGTGTCTTGCAGCAGCTGACAGTATACTTGTCATCTGACAGGGACTGAACTAAACTAGCCTAACTATAATTTCTAAAGATAAAGATCAGTGTAGGTTATATCATTTCATACTATCTTTTTTCCCTAATCCCAAGTAATCTTGGGGGTGGGGGAGAGAAAAAAGTTTTAACTTCTAGAAAGGCTCTGTGTGAAATGACACCAGGGCTGTCTGTTAAGTTCAGAGGACAGGCCCAGTGCTGCCTGCTCTGCAGGAGCCAAGGATTTCGCTGACTTGAATGGACCGATCTCTTGCCTGGAAAGCTAACAGCTCAGGCAGACTGGGACAGGGAAGCTACTAGCTCACCAGACAGCCACAAAGCAACCTCTGGATTAAATGTTAAATAAAGAAAACTTGGTTTTCTGTCACTTTATTTTAAAACAAACTTTTTGTCAATAAAAATCTACTACAGCAATGCCATCAATACCTCAGTAAGAGTAGCCAGTTGAGAGGTATTCACCTCAAACCTGCTCTAAAAGGAATAGCTTATTGTCCTGGTTTTGGCTAGGAAAATTTTCTTCCTAGTAGCTGTCATACTGCTGTGTTTTGGATTTAGTATGAGAACAATGTTGATAACACATTGATATTTTAGTTGTTGCTAAGTAGTGTTTATAGCAGTCAAGGACTTTCCAGCTTCCCATGCTCTGCCAGGGGCACAAGAAGCTGTGAGGGGGCACAGCAAAGACAGCTGACCCAAACTGGCCAAAGGAGTATTCCATACCATATGACGTCATGCTTAGTACATAAAATGGGGGGAATTTGCCCGGGGGCAGACGTTGCTGCTCAGGGGCAGGCTGGGCGTCGGTCAGCGGGTGGTGAGCAATTGCACTGTGCGTCACTCGTTTTGTATATTCTCTTATCATTATTATTATTACTAGCTTCTCTTCCTCAGCTGTTTTATTAAACTGTCTTTATCTCAACCCAAAGGTTTTACTTTCCCCCTTCTCCCCCTCCCAATTCTCTCCCCCATCCCACTGGGTGGGGGAAGAGTGTGAGTGAGCGGCTGCATGGTGCTTAATTGCCAGCTGGGATTAAACCATGATGCTTATTCAGATAACTGAGATATAAATCAAATGATCCCACTAAAGCCTAAGCATAAGCTGCACTGAGAAAAGTAGAATTGATGTTTTGCAAGCTCCATAGAAACTAAACTGAAACCCAGCACTATTTGGATAGCCACTGGGTAACTTGCTCTGTAGCTCGATCATGTCATAGCAAATTCACCAGCATGAGGAAAGCATTTGCTTCATTACTGAATAGTTTCCATGGCAGTGGGAAATGGCTTCCTGAGCAATGTGTAGTTACAGACTCAACGTGGGGTCTCTGCAGTTCTCAACCACTTTGCCATGATTAATTCCAGTGGAGCTGGGTCTTAACAGGCACTTGTGTCAGGAATTGAACAAGAGCAGCGCCTCTCCACAGGAATTACTCAGCATCTCACAAAACACAGGGCTATTATTTTTATGCCAAGAAATAGCTCCCAGACTTGAAGTCTTGCAAGCTCAGCTTTTTTTTTTTTTTTTTTTTTTTTTTTTTAATAAAAAGCCCCCTTAGCTCTTCACTACTTTAACTGCGGGTATTGGGCCCCTGTAATTGGATCCACAGTCTACGTTTGTAGCTATGGATCCTTTACAACAGGTGGGTAGAGCTGAACTTTAGAGATCCTCAAGATTTAGCATGCTGACCAGGAAAATGCCTCACCTAAGCCTTGCAAGGTCCTGTGAGTAGGAAGGTGTATGAATCCCAACCAGCTCAATGACTCAGGCACTTTATTTTGCTCTCTCTCCAGTTAGGACTATGAAGGAAAGGCAACCACAGTTTTCTTGGCCTCAAAACTGAATGGGGATGACTGCTAAAGAAAGCAGCATCAGGAAGAGGATTTTCTGCCTTTCTTCCTAGTTTACATTGCAAGAGTTCACTTCTCTCAGAGGAAGGCCCTGTTTCCATTGCCTCCTCTGCCTGACATGACCAAACTCTTCCTGCTGGGGACTTAAAGCCAGAATCTTCCCTATTTTCCTGGGATACTTTTGTCTTATGGATCTTTGTGAAAAGTGAAGCCTTCAAGGGTTCTCAAACTGAGCACCTTAAAGGAAAATGAAATAATGTAGTGGATTTTTTAATAGTAGCAGGTATTGGACAAATAGATGTATTAATTACATTTCTAGGGAATGTGTGTATATTTCATGCATTGTTTGTATCATGTATAAAGGGCAGATCTTATAGAATCAGCCTTGTCTGTGATGGGGGATATATTAGCAAATATTTACTTTGCATGGGAAAACGCAAGCTCTACTCTGTTCCGTAGCAGTAGGAAGTCTTGTATAACTGCTGGCATTCTTGAGAGGGGACTCCAAAACAACTTAGCATCCTGCCCGACAACGTAATGGGCACGTGGGTGGAGGCTTGTTAAGGCATGTTCCATGCACTGAACAACTGGTGAAATGTCCTTGTTAAGACAGATCTTGGACAGCTTTTCCTTCTTTGCTGCATCTGTAAAGCTCAAAAAAAGAAGATCATTTAGTGACAGCCAGGCAGGGTGACTTTAACTCTTCCCCAACACTGATCTGTGCAACTTCACTAAGGAGCTGGTATTTCTTGTTTCTCCCTACACAAGAATTTGTAGCAGTTTCTGGGGACCAAGACCCCATCCATAATGACCTTGTAATATAGTTGACCCCAAGAACAGTCTAGTTACCCTTAATTGTGGAAGAGTTATGGCAAAACCAGGCCTGTATGGTCTGAGGACAAGCAACCAGCATTGACAGTAGCTCAGAATAAACATAACTATATGAGGCAAAGGGAAACAGAAATGCTGAAGTTGTAAATGAGTCTCTTGTAGTAAGGAAATAGCTTTGTGGGAAGTTGTGAAACACAATTGTAAAGAAATTTGAGGGACAAGAAAGTCCAAGGATCAAAACACAAGCAGCTCCTGTTCAAGCAGGCTTAGCAAGTGTCTGTCAGATAGGTCCTAAATGGCTTCATCACCACTGGGGCTAGTAGAAGCAAAGGGAATCGTTCCCTTTTTGATTACTAAATAAATAAACAATAATGACAGAAAAACACATCGAGCACATTGATTACATCATCGGATAAAAGTTTTTCTGTTTGGGAGTTTGCTCAAAAGCTTCATGGCAACACGAATAATTAATCTTTAACTGAGATTTGAATAAAGCTTCCCAGAGCAAGTCTTTTGTGCAGATAGTCATACTGTGATACAGATACATTTGAAGAGTAACTTTGCATCACAGTCTTTCCAAAAAGTCAGAACGATTAGAAGATAAAATGCTACTTTACAAGTCTTTCTCAGCAAGAAATGCATTGCTTCTTTTGACACAGATGTCTGGAAATTGCCTCACCTTTCTGAAAATACTCTTCTCCATATTGCTTTTTAATATCAGGGGGAAGCTTATTCCAAATATCCTCCTTCTCTTTCAAAACCCTTGCTGGATCGGATAATGCTGTTTTGAACAGTCCAGGTTGAATGCAACAAACCTTAACTCCGAAAGCTTTCATATCTCTCCTGCAAAGACAGCCCAATGATTTAATTGCATTAGACATTATTATTAATACTGTGGGATTTTTTTTTCTGTACTAACGCTTTTCTTTCTGTCTTTACATGGCACACCGGCACACAAATACTGTGAGGTTCGTTCATGGTTGTGTAACTTTCAGCTTGTTATCCCTAAATGAAAGAGGAATGAACTATCTTACCTGCTTCACCAAGTGAGAGCGGGCATGGGCACTGACAGTGCAGTAGCTGGCATAGTGTATTTCACATCCTAGTTCTCCTTGCAGAGCTTGTTAGTTATCTGACTTGTCTGTAAGACTGTCTGGCTGCCTAAATGCACGTATATAGAGCCATTTTACATGTCTTAGGGAACACCTCAGCTTCTGGCTGATGCTCCACATTGGTACAGTTCCTCTGGCCCCATCTTGTATCTGTCAGCCCTGTGTGAGTGTCTCAGTATTCTGAAATAGCACTGTGTTTAGGCACACATATCGCTCCCTGTCTGTGCTACAAGAAGAAGCCATGGTGATCCCCTGCATTAGTTTGCTATGTTCTCTAGATCTCTCTAGTGATAATGGTATAATTAAGAGAAGATACTTTGGAGAACAAAGCTTAGACAAAAGTTACTATCATGCAATAACTCATGGTATGTGGGGGTTTTTTGGATGGGTGGCTGCTGGAAGTTTCTGGGTGCACTTTTCAATTAGGAGAATTAGGTTCATATTTCAAAGACATCTCAGTTCCCTCGAGTGGAGCTTCCTCTACAATAGGCCTCTGTGCACACTAAGATAGGTTAGTTGTGAATCTATGAGAGTACCAACTGTGCTTCAATAAGACTTGAGGACAGCTTGTGTGCCCGGCAGCCTTTGTACAGTTTTAGAAGTGGCATAGTCTGTGTTGAGCAAAAGAACTTTTAAGAAGAATTAGTCCAAAGTGTCTAATGTTTTTCAATTTTATACCAAGTGCCAGGATTGTAAATCATCTACTGTTCTGCATGTGCCAGTTTTTAGCTGGTACCTTAGGGAAAAAAAAGAGCGGTCTTTTCTCATAGTGAGTGTTATACCTTAAGCTGTCATTAAATCCTTCTACCCCAAACTTTGAAGCAAAATAGCCTCCACCACTGAATGCTAGGCGGCCTCCAACACTGGATACATTTACTATCCTTCCTTTTGCTTTTTTTATCAAGGGAAGCATATTTATTGTAACATTTATGAGTCCGATTAAGTTAACTTCAATTGGTTCTCTGAAGTGCTCAATATCCAACCAGTCTGTAGGAGCTGATGGCCCCATAATCCCAGCATTATTGACAAGTCCCCAGAGACCTGTAGGGACAAAAAGAAGAAAGTCAGGAAGCAAATTCTCACCAAATTTGTCAGATTAATTGAGCTGGGTGAGACTTCACAGAAAGTCAGTGAGGGATCAAGACAGCAATGAAGATTTGGAGGAATTGCTTGAGAATGTCCTGTAGTGTTCAGCTTTACTCTCAGTGTCCAGGTTTTATCACCATGCTTTCCATCACCCTTTGTGTAGTCTTCCCCCTGCCACAGCATTTTGGCTAGGGGCTGGTGTTGGCTTTTTGTTGGAGAAGGGGCAGTAGAGGAAGGCCAGGTATGGCAAAGAATATTGGGTAACAGGAAATGGGTAAGAAATAGACGTGGTCCTTGGTACAAGTAGAGTGTGCTGAGAGACAGGTAAGCATGCCCTGGTTCTGAGATGGGTGAGATGCCAGGACAATAAAGAACAGCTCTTGATAACAAAAAAAAAATAAATTAAAAATATCCTTCTCAGAGGTTTGAAAACAAGATGGGAACTGTGTGACAGAGAAGGCTTTCACTATCCTTTTTCCCCACACTGATGTTTTTGTTGTAGCAGAGAACTTATGCCTCACATTGACTGACATGCCCCAGCTAGAAATGGGAAGGATTTTTTTTAAATAAACAGCCAACTCCAAAAAATGAGGTGGAGGCAGGGAAAAACCACTAGACTGATCTGAAAAAATTTCTGAGCCCTCAGAAGTGGGAGGGGAAAACACAAAAATGTAAAACCCATTCTCTTGTATCAGCTGTTAGAGTTGTGTGAATGAATATTTCTGCTGGTCTGACCTTGCTCAGTTTTTCTTGGGGAAAAAAATCACTTTTGGCCTGAAACCAAGCACAGTTTCAAATAAAGGTGATTTGGCAAGTTATAAACAATTTGATGAAGAGAGGAGAGGTAAAATGGAGATTGGAATTTAGCATTAAGTATAATTGGTACTATGGCACATCATAATAGACCAGATTTAGACTCAAAGTTAGCAGAATCCAGCCCATAGGATCTTGGGCCTTTGTAAACTCTACTGCAATACCACTCCTACTGAAATCAGCTAGCATCAGTAATGGCAGCAGCATCTTGTCTTGCACAACTTGTTGGGTCAGAGATATGGTATTTTTCTATTTTTCAGATGGTCTGCAAGCAACATTCCAAAATAGCTAAGTTCAGATTTATTCAATAGAGTTCATATGTAATTTTTGCTTTTGATAGAATGAATGATTACTTATAGGTAATTTATTACAGGTATTCAATTTGTAAAATAAAAACTCTTTAAGGTTGTTAAGTGGAATTTATTTAATTTGTTCCCTAGCTGGGTAACACAGCATGGGAAGTGCTGAGCACTCATGCCATAACCCAGATATGCACGTGAGTGCAAACAGTCCCAACCAAGGTTCCAGGAACTGGATTCCTGTTCTGACAATGATGTATTGATAAGACTGGCTTTTTGAGCACATTCCCACATATTTACCTATCACTAACTAGATGTATAAAACACCTCTCTAGTGAGATCTTCCATGTTTCTGGAAGGTGACAAGACATCCACACACACTTGTCAAACATCAATTAAAATAAGCTGTGAATGTAGCATGGTATTTTTGGGAAAACTTGCTTTTTTGTTTTTTAATTTATTTTTTTTTAAAGACAGGTATCCTGGTACTCACCTTCTGACTGAACTTCAGCTTTGACCCATGCAGCCACTTTCTTAACACTGTCTGAATCTCTTACATCTAGCAGCACTGTCTGAAGCTGCTTCGAGGTCACAGCTTTTAGCTCTTTGGCTCCTGCTTCAGTCAGACAACTGGCAAAAACACGGAATCCCTTTTTATCAAAAACCTTTGCTGCCATATTTCCAAATCCTGTGTCACATCCAGTGATGAATATGTATTTTCCAGTGAGATTTTCAACCTTCATCCTGTCTCTTGCCCTCCAGTGCCACCACAGAGAGATGATGCCAAGAAAGAGTAATATATAGAGAAGCATTTTTACCGAAGTCTTCTGGACACGTTCTCCTACAATGAAAACAAAAAGAAAGAAGGGATTGTTAGTTGGTTGGGTTTTTTCTTTTTTTCTTGAGTTGGCTAACTGCAACTATTCAGAGAAGCAGGCACAATTCAAAGCAGTGGCCTTCTTATGCTGAAACAAATAAAAAAAATCCTTCGAGCAGAAATGATAACTGGAGATACATTATAATAAGGTTACAAAGAATAATGCATATTAGGCTACTGCTGCCAGGTCAGTAAGCTCCCATTGAGCATATATGGGAGAAACGCTGACTGGAAGTGTACCAAAAATGAAGTATTTGCATGGAAACCAACACAAATGTCTGACCTTAGTGTTACTTCACAGCATATTGAAGAACAAGACTGGGAGCAGATGGCAACAAAAGGTCAAACCAGATCAGCAGGATCCAGAACCTTTCTCGTTACTGTGGATACTTAAGCAATACTAGCCAGGAAAAATTATTTACTCTATTTTACTAAACCCTTTTGCTGTCAGTGCCAGACTCTCAAGGAAGAGGGTAGCAAGTACTTCCACTTTGCCTCTCAGGAAGTAAATTCCCACCAGCCAGGCCGTGGGACTGTGCATGTGGTCCCTGAGCATAGGAAGGAGGGTGCAGGTTGGAGCACTTCACCTGCTGGAGTGAAGCTCAGGCAGTGTGACAACATCAGTACTGCAAAATATGTTTGTGAAGAGCCTGCATATCTGGGATTATACTCCAATTGACTTAATAGTGAACTTAATAAGTAACTATTTTTGATGGATGACATTCGGCTTAGAGAAAACAATTCAGTTATACTTCCACATGAGCGCTCATGGCCCGGAAAACAGGAGATGCCTAATGCAATCAACTAAAAAAAGAATTCTAAATAGACATAAAGGAGTAAAGATCTTTTTAGAGATTGCTTACAGACAATCCATCTCTGCAGGGCAAGATGCAGTATAGTTGCATTTACTATTGCCAAATTCTCCTCTGGCAAAACTTAATTTAAAAGGAAATTGCAAACACCTGACATGTTTTTAAGCATCATAATAGGAACAGGAACACTGCTTCTATTTTCTACATGTAGAACTGCTTTCTGCTCTGACATGACAGGTTCAATATAGCCCCATTTTTATTGCAAGCCCTGTGGCTGCTCATGGTGCTTATTTACATAAATATGCTGTATGTGTGCTTACATACATAAGGTGCTGGTGAAATGCAGCTTCTTGTGTGGGCTGGAAGTTACCCAGGGTGTTGCTAAAGTTGCAATGCAGAGATGCTAGTTTTTGTTGCTTAACTTCCTCTGCAGCATCAGTAATGAAGAAAGTATGAAGAAGTGATTAGGTAAGTGCCCTCCCCATGTAGTATTTCATGGTTCCTTTGTTAAGACAAGGAATTTTTTTCCCTCAGCATATGCATGCACACATGGCAGACTCAGCACAGTGGCTGGCTTTCCTTCTCCTGCGACCCTTATTAACATTACCATTCTCTTTATAAAATCCCTTGCTCCTCTTGGAGTTACCATATTCCTTCACAGCTTTTCTTTACCTGCAGCTGAGTAACAGTCCAGGCAGTCCCTAGCTGTTACACGTCAGAGCCAGGGCCAGGCTTGCTCCCGGAGGCTGTGTGCAGACGTGCCCTCCTTGGCAGGAAAGCACTGTGTTTCCCTGCCACTCCTGCCCTCCCACACCTACCTGCCCCTGGACCTCAGCCATGCCTGATAGCTGCACCTCGTGCATGCTAAAGCCTCCGCAGGGTCTGGCCACAGCAGTAAACGGGGGGCCCAGGGATGGAGAAGGTTTGAGAAGAGCCCCTCCAGAGAAGGAAGAGGCAGAACTGTGTTTCATCACACCCTACTTCAATTATAAAGTGGATATAAACTATAACTAGTAAATTAACATAAGTAAAACAGAATTTTGGCCTGATCTGTAATCTGGTCAATTAATAAAAATAAAAGCCAATTCAGCCTGACTGAGGGAAAAGGCTCACCTAGGCCTGTTTTTGCCATGGCAAAAGGCACATCTACAAACATGGGACTTGGGTGAACATGGTTAACTTCTGGTCCCTGTGATCTTTAATCAATGGGTCAGTGGGCCTTTATATCAAATTAATAAAGTGCTGAAATGAAAAGGTTTTCAGTTAGAGTGCTTTGTGCAGGCTGCATTTCCAACTCCAGCCTGCCAGGGAGACTGACAGGTCCAGCACCTGCCCACAGTGGCTCGCCTCTGCAGTGTAAAAATTGACCTCAAATTTTTTATAGGGGCCACAACAATGGCTTATCAAGCACAGATATATTTTCCTCTAGTTTTCAGGATGAAGAGTGAGAAGAGGCACTCAGTCGGAAGCCCCAAAGGTTTTTGAGTGGTGGCATTTGAGAGTAATTGCAAAAGCAGAGGCGCAGGAGACAGGCAGGCTCACATGGGCATGCCACCTTCTGACAGGAATAGGCAAGGTGACCGAGGGGCCAGTTGCCCAGTGGGTGGGGCAGGCGCTCTGAGAGATGTCTTTTTTAAAGGACTTTTTTTTATTTTAGCACACTGAGTCAGTTAATTTTTATATAAAAGTTATAGTTTGCATTTAAAATTTACTTTTTGGGTTTGGTTTTTTGTTTTGTTTTTTAGAAGTGTTGTTGCTATCTCTGCTATTTTTATTTGCACAAGTGTGTGGAATGGAGAAAAAATCCTGACTGGCTGCCAGACTTGGGTAGGATCAACGGGATAAGTGAATGCTTGTCCTGCTTCTGGTCCTTTCCAAGAACAGATGGTGAGAGGCTAACTATAGAAACAAGGCGAGTAACTAGAGGTAAGTCCTGTGCTGCCTACCTCCCAGCCTCCCTGCTGGACCCACTCCAGACAGTACTTTGCAGTTTCAGCGTAGCTTATTTCTGTGACCAAGAAATAAATACACCATGACTATGTCCCTGATTGTGATTTAGACTGTGGGAGAATAAATAAGTGTGTTTCTTTGTGCTAGCCTCCCACCTGGAGTTACCTGCTCCCAACAATCACCGACTTGGACTTTTTACTTTCCATAACAAGAGAAAGGAACAGAAATGTCTCCATTGTGCCCAGAGGTACTTTCCTTATTTCACTGTAAGGGAAGTATCTGCTCTTACCCATTTCTCCTTTAGGTTGGAAAAGACCTTTAAGATCATCAAGTCCAACTGTTAACCTAGTGCTGCCAAGTCCACCACTAAACCATGTGCCAAAGCACCACCACATCTATGTATTTTAAATACCTCCAGGGATGGGGGGCTCTACCACTTCCCTGGGCAGCCTGTTCCAATGCTTGACAACCCTTTCAGTGAAGAAATTTTTCCTAATATCCAATCTAAACCTCCTCTGGTGCAACTTGAGGCCATTTCCTCTTATCCTGTCACTTGTTACTTGGGAGAAGAGACTGAGACCCACCTGGCTACAACCTCCTTTGAGGTAGCTGTAGAGGGCGAAATGATCTCCCCTCAGCCTCTTGTTCTCAATGCTAAACCACCCCAGTTCCCTCAGCCATTCCTCATGAGACTTGTGCTCCAGACCCCTCACCAGCTTTGTTGCCCTTCTCTGGACATGCTCCAGTGCCTCAATGTCCTTCTTGTAGTGAGGGGCCCAAAACTGAACACAGTATTTGAGGTGGAGCCTCACCAGTGCCAAGTACAGGCGGACAATCACTTCCCTGGTCCTGCTGGTCACGCTATTTCTGATACAAGCCAGGATGCCATTGGCCTTCTTGGCCACCTGGGCACACTGCTGGCTCATATTTAGCTGGCTGTTGACCACATCCTCTTCTGATGGTCAGCTTTCCAGACACTCTTCCCCAAGCCTGTAGTGTTGCACGGGGTTGTTGTGACCCAAGTACAGGACCCGGCACTTGGCCTTGTTGAACCTCATACAGTTGGCCTCAGCCCATTGATCCAGCTTGTCCAGGTCCCTCTGTAGAGCCTTCCTACCCTCAAGCAGATCAACATTCCTGCCCAACTTGGTGTTGTCTGCAAACTTACCTGAGGGTGTACTCAATCCCCTCATCCAGATCATTGATAAAGATATTAAACAGAACTGGCCCCAAAATGTAATTTGACTGCAAAAAAAAAGGAAATTGACTTCTTAACAATGTACAGCTTTTTGCTTGCAGCAAAAATGATAAAACCCAGGCATCAAAAGAGGAAATCTTGCTCTTAGGTGCAAAAAAGATTTCCGTGTAGAACTCCTGCTAAAGATCTTTGGAAAGGACAGTAACTTTTTCAAAAGTCATGCTGCGTTGAAGGAAATAATGTACATATGCACTTCATGGGATTAACATTCAATTTTTAATAACATAAATCACAAATCAGTAAGCTCAGTGTAAAATTCACTTTGCATTGGATGAAGTGAATACTAAGTCGTGTTTGTGTAAGCCCTGTGGTGCCACGAATGAAGACACAGCATGTGGGTACTTGCCAACCTGACCAACTGTGTGTGTGTACTGACCTTTCCTGTAACTTCCCACTCCTCCAGTCTCTGCCCTGATCAGAGTCCTGCAGAGGAGCTTGTTGTCTTCCAGCCCCATTTGATTGGTTTTGTCCTGTAGATACCTTTATAACTGTGATAACTTTTTTCAGATTAATTTCATAAACAGTATTTAACAGGTGATACTCCCAGAACAGATGTGGAAGTCGTCTGCCTAATAATTCAAGCTGCAAGCTGTATCTACTTTATTTCAAATGTCCCTTATCTTAAAACAGGGTACCAAAAGAAAGCTATAACTTGCTTTTATTTAGAGTTCACTTTAAGTTCACCTTACTATTTAGGTGAAAAAATTGTGATAGCATATGAGGCAAAATAACAAAAAGTATTTTCAAAAACTGGGAGAAATAAAGAAAAAGTGTTTTCCTTTGTTTTTCAAAGGATCAGAGGAGAGGAAGTTAAAGCATCATGCAGAAGCAGAAGTGTGCAGTATTGAGATCCGCCTTATACTGCTGACACTCTGAGATGCTATCACTGTAAGTGGCACACTTAAGATTATACCCAAGTGAAAAATCCAGTGTCTGGCTTCTTT